GCTAGTTATTAGCTAATTCGACTATTGTCATTATATTTTTTTTATGATTTGTAGTGAACTCAATGTGAAAAAGTTTTGAGTTTTAATTATAATAATATGTTTTTAAAATAATTTTTATTACTAATTTTTCCTTTTTTGCTGCAACGTATTAAGAAAATTCCGGCCCCCCCGATGATTAAATCCTAGCTCCGCCCCTGATGTGATGTAACCTACGTCACGGCCTAACTAGAGTAGTAAGTGATCTTTAGGGACAAGGATTCTTACCTGACGAGGGGACGAACAGAAGGCTACTTTTCTCAGTGGACACAATTAGGAACAGAAGAAGGGTCTGGTGATTTGTTATTGTATCTCGAATTTGCGATGGTGGAGAATAGCCAGAAAAGAAGCAACCGAAATCCTTCAGACATCATGGAACCAATCTCAATGTCGGCGGCGAGTGATTCATTGACCAAACTGCCGGACGAGTTAGAGACGGAGATTCTCTCCCGCCTGGGGACGCTGAACGAGGCCGTAAGATGCAGCAGCCTCCTCTGCAAACGTTGGAGGAACATATGGCGATCAATCGACGGCGGGATCCTAGATTTCGACGAGCTACAGCAGACGAAGAAGATCTTGTTCTACACCACCACACCTGAAGAAATCGCAAATCGGGTCAACCAAGCGCTGACCTGCCTTGTTCATCATCACAATCGTAACTTTGGTGGATCAGGGCTCCACACACAGTGCAACTATCTCCCATGGTCTCGGTCCGATCGAATTCGACAGATTTGCACCTCGATTGCAGCGCCTCGGTCTCGAACTCGGGTGGCCTCACTTGGAACCAGCATTTGCGCACCGCGCCTCTAAGTGGATGTTATTTGAGAAGCTCAAAAGGTTGGATCTAACCATGTGTATGAAGGCCAATCCTGCAAGTTTCTTGGAATGCACGGTTCTGCTAAGGGCAGCCCCACTGTTGCAAGAGTTGTCTATTTGGGTATGTACCACTTACCCACCAAATTAAAATCTCCACTTTCCTTCTTCCTTATATCAGTAACTTTTACTAAGCTTTTTTTTTTTTTTTTTTTTCCCAGTGATGAACGTCTTAACCAAGTTTTCATCAAACAGTTCCCTGAAGCAGCTAAGTCAAGAGGAGAGTCGGAGAGGCGAGACTTGGGTGCAGAGTCGACTTGGAAGCATAACTCTCTGCAAGTGCTTCGACTGCATGGAGTTAGGCAGGTTGAATTCAGTGTTCGCAAACCCCAATTGGAGCTTGCTGCTTACATAATCATGAATGCACCAAGCTTGAACGAGGTACTTATTGCACACAGAATTCCACTCAATGGAGAAGATATCTATGAAGTGAAGATGGAGTTGGAGTTGGAAACCCAACTGCTGGACTGCTCTGTCAGCCCCTTAATCAATTTCACATATCGATAATGCAATAGAAGCTTCTGCTTTTTTTTTTCTTTTTTCCTTCTCCTTTTTGCTACTTTGTCAGGTTGTCATTGTGGTTTAGAATTGCATTTCTGCCTGAGCGAGGTTTCGTATCTTTTTTAAACAAATAGGTTACTATGAATTTGAAGAACCCTCTTTTGTCAAAGTTGCGATCTTTTTCATGAATTTAGTGATGGGTATTTAGTTCGGAAATGATTTGGAATAGATGGAAACACATGAAATACGTATCTCTCTGGCCCTCGTGGATTCATTGAAGCTGAGAGAGTGCTCGAGATTATAAAAGCCTTGCCAACAAATTTACTTCTCAAGACTGGTCATTTCTTATGTGCATTTGAGCACAAGACGAGCCAATAGATCTCCCAAAAAGAGGGTGCAGGTACTTAACTTGGATTCAACCCAATCAAAGCGGGTAAAATTTAAAGTAGGCAAGATTTGGATCCGGTGTGCGTTGCTTTTGGAATTGGTGGATTGGGCTGGGTGGGATTTGGCGAAAACATGTCATCTATCCAAAAAAGCGAGATAATATTGTTTTGCATCTACTCTCAATAATATGGATATTTTATAGATGTTATTAGTTTTTATCACAATATAGTTCTAATAATATGAATGGTTTGTTGATTTTATTAGTCTTTATAGCAATATATAGTTGTAGAATTTTTTTGATAATATAATACGAGTGAACGAAAAAAAGGTATTAACAATTATGTTTTTGAATTTATAAGTTTCATGCATACGTGAAAATTATTAATTTATAGTAGTTATTAATTAATTAATTAATTAATTTAAAGAGGTTCATTATAATGTATATTGTTAATGGTATGGCTTATCCTAACAAGATCTATGTAAGTCAGTTGTTGGAGTATCCAAGTGAAAGCGATTAATGTATCGAGGCACAAACTTTAGACGAATTAGTGGCTGAATTCATTGGGAGTTCAATTGAGGATGAGGGAGATGATGATTCAAACACTTTCGAAACCGGTCACGCCTGGGGTGCATCACTCGCTAAAAGTGCTTCGACTTCATGGGGTGCATCGAGTCAGTCTGGTTGTTGACGATCGCAAAGTCCAATTGGAGCTGGCTGCTTGCATAATCATGAACACACCATGCTTGAACCAAGTGCTTATTGACACTCGACACCCAGCATCAATCCGCCGCGATCCGGACGATGCTGAACCCAGGCTACCGGATCAAGTCGATGAACATGATGTCAAGCCAAGATGGAGCTGGAGAGCCAGCTCCAAGGCTGCTCCACCATCAGCCCCCAAATCGAATTCACGTATAGATAATAATATGATTCTGTAGTTCTACTTTGTTAGGGTTTCTTCAAAGAACGTGTGTTGGTTCAAATACCATAGAGTTCACATTCTGATGACTATTAATGATGACGATGCTAAGTCTCTTGTGGTGAAAGTATTGGTTCAGATTAGTCCATATAGTGCATGATTGGTTTTGAAATGAAATTTCTATCCATATTGCTTCTTCAGAATTTTCCTGTGACGTGGATTGGAAGAAACAAAAGGAATTTCTGAAGTATTGAACCCATTTGTGTTAGCAAAAAACGACAAGACAGGGGTCATCAGGACGCGTTGCCCTTGAGTTGAAGGGTAGGTGAGCCCTCCAATGATATTGCATGCCAGAAAAAGAGGAAGAGAGCTGGTGTTGGTGTAGGTGTACCCTCCATTAGGTAATCGACCAAATTCTTTATTAAGCTCTGAATAAACAAGTGGGTACAGTACATAACAGGTCTGTTTGATTCCCCTAAAAGTTAGTATGTGCTTAATTGGTATGATTCGACGGGTCAAAAGAGAATAGCTATCATGAATTTAATCAAAGACGTTGCCTTTTTCCCCCCTGAAACAAAGGACTTGTGTATTTGAATTTTTGAGGTGTTCATCGGCCTAATGTGAAATTGGCAGCTACACATTATAGTGGGGGACACGAAAAAAAGGCTGGGTTTAGAAATGTATTAGGAGATGTCCTTTTCGAGCATGGTTGATTATGGACGGCTGTGGGGTTGGTTGGTTCATTTGTTTTCAGTTTCAATCATTACTTAATTATTAATTGGGTTAATTGGCTTGGGAAATTCCTAGTGATGTTAATTTTGTTTATTGGGTTATTATAGAGCATGCCATTTTTTTGGAAAGTCTCGGTCTCGATTGATCCGCTGTACGTAGAAGACAGGGGATCCACTTCAATAGTAGGGGTGGACAACGGGCGGATTGGATGGATTTTGACTATAAAAGTAATCCACCCACTCATAAACGGATTGTCAATTGTCAACCCGCCATCCACCCACAGTGACTATTGGGTTGGGTCGGGCGGATAGCGGATAGCGGATTATGCGGTTGGATTATCGGATTCACCCACAATATAGTAAGTAATAAAAAAAATTGAAACATCTGTAGAAAATAAAATAATAGCAACGGCATAAACTAGTTATAAACGAGTGCAAATCTACCAGTAGAGACTTCTGAAAATTGAAAAACGTGATTGTACTCATAAAATTGGAATCTGAAGAATTGAAAACGAGTCTAAATCCAAGATATGACTCATCAACAAGCTAAATAATAGTAAAAGAAAACAATTTGTACTCATATTTCAAAAACAGAGATGAAATTCAAATAAATTATCAATTAACAAGATTAACATCATTGATTAATGAAAGTGGTGATTTCTTAACCAACACATCCATTCAGCAACCTCTATATATATAATTATGTGTATATATATAAGTAAATGTATATATAGAATATGGTAAGAAGCCGATTGGTTTGGGTGGGGAAGTAAGGAAAGAAGACGAGACCTAGCCGGCAGACGACAACAGTGATGGTGATGTGCGATGGTGATCGGGTTTGCGGGTGACCTGCGGATCCACCCGCGAACCACCCACCTCCTGCGCATTACCATTTATCCTATCCGCCACCCGCCCACCAACCCGCCCATATAATACAGATTGGGTCATTTTGCGGGCAAGTCGGGTCAGATCCGCGCGTCAGCAACCCGCATGCCCAGCCCTATTCACTAGTATCTGTATCGTTAAAAACTTCTAGTTTTCTTCTCCTTGAGAATTCAATGGAATGAATTTAGTTCTCGGATATTCAAAATTGTGGTAAACCGAAAGTTTTGGCTAACAGCATGTTGACGAGTCTATACATCAATGCTTGCTTCCATAGTTATCTCGCTATAGTTCAGTACTAACCAAAAAAAAAAAAATTAGATAATTAGTACCAACAATTGAGTGTACAGAAAGTTGTAAACATTGAATAGGGTTGATGCGTAGATCAATTTGCATGAATTTGGTGTATTATATTCTACATTATAACATACTAGTAAAGAAGCCCGCGCTCTGCGGCGGGGAGACTATATTGTGGGAATGGAGAGTTGTAAGCGAAAAAGCGGAGTCATTGTGCATGTGAATAGTTTGTACGTACATCGCGGATACATAAGTCTGTTGATGTTGAAGTGCAAATATTGCTAAATACTGGGATAATATAGGTAAGACAACGGTCGAGCACAATGACTTTCTGCGCAAGCGTTGACGTTTTCATTAGTTTATTGTTAAACCTGGCTGCGGTCGAATGCAGAAAGTATAGTAAACTCCAGAGGAGTCTGAGCCAGATATCCAGGTTTAGGGAGTTGCACACAAAACGAAAACCAACATCCATTCATGGCCACAATTGCCGGAGGGAAATGGCCATGGCGGTGGGGATGCTGCAACAATAGTTCGTTTGCTGTAACTCCAAGCAAAGATTCAGCGGTCTTTCCAAGTGCGACGAAGCACGCCGAACCAGTAGTGTCTCCGACAGCCAAATGAATTTTGTAGCTGTAAAAGTGTATCAAAATTTCAGGGTTGAATTGGGCGTGCCCACTTGACTGATGGGGAAAAGGTGGATTTTAAACTAACCAATGTTCGGTTTCTTCAGCCTTTAGTTGGCCATGTTCTTCACAAAAAAAATCACCAGTGCCAGGAAATTCCCTAGCTGTCTTAAAGCAAAAGGCACATCCTAAGTAGAACCATGATCTTGAAGCCTCAGTGGAGAGGACTTGCGCCAAACAATAGTACTGGGTAGCCTGTAGGTAAACAAAACTGGTGAGAAAATTTAGCTAAGCAGGCAAGAAATTTGTTAGTTTACTGGGAAAAGGGACTGGAAAAACAGATCCATCTAGTGGTGAGGCAGAATAAATTTGGAAGCATGAAAATAATGGCTGGCTACATTAATAGTGCAGATTATGCTTTAACCTGCCATTAAGTAATAAGACACAGTGCTGTGACAGTAAAAGTTATGACAAAAGAACGCACGTCAACCATTGGATTTCTGGAAAGGCGGATGAGGTCCATAATTGTCTTGGTACTGTCAGCTCGAAACATTTCCTCTTCAAAATAAGTGGAAAAGCATGGAGGATCATATCGGATCGTATCTGTAGCAAAATCGACCTATGAACAACTACACCAAGTCCCTAAGACAGCATGACCTCCTTTCAAACCAATTTGAAGTACTATTGGTGTATTTTGCTTCACATTACTATACTGAGCATGGCAGGAAGCCTTCGTTCCAACGCAAGCTGGAACTGAACTCGAACACACACCAATAAATTCTACCAAAGGCATCAAATTCTAAAAAATTAATATACTTAGAAAGAACATGCGGGAAAGAACAGTTCCAGCATGTTACAACCTGAGACAGTATATCTCGATTGACAACGATACAGAATAGGTGTACACATGATATCTCTATCTATTTCCAGGAATGCAAACCCATGGTCATTCTCTTTCACAAAAACCACGAACGATTGTAAACAACGCAACGATATTTTCAAGTCTACTTAGTATGTGAAATAAAATAGCATCAAATCTATAAGAGAAGGAATTTAAGGAAAGAAGAAGAATCACGTCCTTTCAAACACCTTGCATTTCCCCTGTTATGTCCGGTCCGTACCGGACCAAACATTGTTAAGACCGGACCAAACAAGATCAAGTAAAATGCGGTCCGGTCCTTGGTCCTCATGAATTTTATAATTACTGAAGAAATGGTGGATCCAACTCATATTTGGACCGGACCGAACAGGACCAAATGCAAGAATGGTCTGGTCCTTGGTCCTAACATGCATGTCACCAATGGACCGCGGTTCTCATGAGTTTGGTCCGGTCCGGACCGAACCGGTGCACACCCCTATATTTATATATATGGCTAAAAACTTCCAGTTCCAATTTCAATACCAATAATGCTAAAGAGTTCTTAATGCGAGAGCGGTGAGGGAGGAGGAAGTACCGGATCCTCAAAACTGAAGCGGGAAACAAGGAAATTGTGCTGCCAGCATGTGGGTCTTTCTCCTCCTCTACCAACTCATCTTCTCCTTTTCCTCCGTATTCTATTCATTCTTCCTCTCTCAGTGTAAGTCAGTTCGGCAACCCTATTACTCTCTTCGCACTCCCCTCTTTCGGCTGCTGCATTCTCTAAGCATTCTCCTTTCCTAAGAATAATGCACAATAGGTTTTCTTATTAGTTAGTTCATGAATTGTGCATCTTGTCATCCAAACACATAATGAAGCATATATATGTGGACTGGGAATGCACGGTCTTCGACTTTTTTTAGTTTTGCAATTCAGTTGGGAAGGCTAGCTTTCTGGTCTTCCTTTTTAAAAAGAGATTATGGCTACAGGAAAGTAACACCAACACAACCATACCGAAAAGAAAACTCTACCAAACTGAGTCCATTTCATAAAGTCCTAGAATTCAGAACTGCATAATTTATTTCACAGCCTGCAAATGGAAGAAGATTCACAATTTCCATATAAGAAATCAGCAACGGCATCATCACACACTTTGTTTCACAGGTTGCAAAGATAGGCCAAATTTAATAAAAAGGAATCTACAGGCACGCGAAATCAGAACGGTTTCAACATTGTAGATCTAGTAACTCATCATCCAACCACCTAATGTTCTTGGGGATCCACAGGGCCTATCTACCAATTCAAAACCATTCCCAAGCTAGAACAATGAAAACAAAGAAGACTGGACTCTAACCTTACTTGCATATATCATCACGACGGAAGGCTTCCCGTAATTAAGTTGAAGCCTAAAAGCACACTTTAGTTTTCTCATCTGACCACCATAAAATCTCAACAGTATCCTCACAAGCACCAAGTCTTCGATACATCCTGTCCATCGCAAATAGACTTAGGTAATAGCTCTGAAAATATGTCCATTCATCTTTATGGCGTTGGTCATAGTTAATTACCACAAAACAACCTCATAGTTACTTCCAATCCATCAATTATAGAACTTTCTAAATCGATGAGTGATTATGGACCAAGCACGATGTTTTAGAGCAAGCTTTTTCATATATATACGACTCTGTATCTATCCAAGTCATTTTTTATTTTGTGAATAAGCAAGTTTGGCTAGTATATTTTCAAATTCCATTCTATTCAGAAAGTGCTAAGCTAATGCAAACAAACCGAACCAAGTTTAACAACTAAAATTAAAATTAATGAAAAAAACATCGCCGAGATTATACATGTTAATGGATCCAAGATGTAAGGCTAGAGAATCTACTATAATTAGATCATAAAAAAAAGACATGTCAAGACCAATGGAGAATTTCTATATGTAAACAGGAAATAATCCATCAGACGCTCTCTAAGTTCAGTGTTCAAGTCTGACTTGGTTTAGATCCCAAAATGAAACTAAATAGCCTATGAAAGACACCATTTGCCTACCAAACACAATTGCACAAATACCTGCCCGTAAACTTGTGACATCAGATTGACAACAAAGGAGAGGAATCAAATAGCAGCACAGTTAACAGTATCGAATCCGAATCAAACCCGATGTACTTTACCCATTCAAAGGAATAACAGATTTAGTGCGAAGAAACATAAATACATATCATGAATTTTCCAGACCAAGTCCGGCAGTTCAATGACCCCTCTCATCCAGTTCCCCAAAAGTCTGACTCACACAACCGAGGCAGTAAATAAACCAAACACGAAGACTGAGAAGAAAAAAGATTGGGGGTTTGCAAAGAGGTAAGCCAGACATAGAAATTGTACCCTCCACAGCCGACTTATAAAAACACAAGTAACCAAAGGACGAACCAAAAAGAAAAATCTAAAAGGAAAGACAAATGTAGTATACAACGAACCTGCAAAAGCATCAATTCTCTTGCTCTGACCTACCAATTCCTAGCACCAAATCACACGAACCCACCTATTCAATCAGTACTCTCACCCTGCGGATTCCATACAAAAACTATATACATGTTAATCCAAAGTGTTTGAAGATAAATTTCTTGACAGGCAAGAAAGAAACTGAAAGTGCTAAGAACAAACCATTATAAACAGACTTCAGCAACGGGGAATGTTTGATTTGTGTCGTAAGTGTTCATGGGGATGCAGAATTGCGTGGTTTGCCAACCCACACTAAGCATCATCATTGTTGAACCAAGAATGACAACATAGATGATAACATTACAATAGCAGCCCATAGAATGTACTGGGGATGGTATTGCGTCATGGCCCGGTAAAGTCCCTGATAAGAATGGCAATTGTACATTAAGCAATACTGAAAATCTGTACAGGGGGAAAGCAAGCAATCCGATTCTTCAAGAAAGGCTGAATACATAAATTAAGCATCACATTGAGAGTTGAGGTATCACCAAGACATAAATCAAGTGGCCAATTTATACAAATAGATCTCATTTCTTGTGCTAGCTACGTAATTAACATGATTTTGAACACTGCTGAATTACCACTGAAACGGTCTGATACAGAACTTCACACCTCAAAGCTTAACAAAAAGAACACCAATACATGACAATTTGAGATGAGTCAAAAGAGCAACTTAGGCCTCCCAATCAAGCCCCAACAACCAACCACTTAAGCTATTTGAAGGCATCACACTGCAGATCGCTAGCCTCACAAATCCAAGAAAAGGAGGAGAATTTTTCATAAATGTTCACATGAGTTACAGATTTAATACCTCTGCCAAACAGAGCAGTGTTGACTTCTCTTTAACAACATCTTTACTAACACTTGCTGACAAATTGCAATTAGCAATTAAAGAAGACCCTATAGAACAACAACAGATGCCCCCAATTCCATCATCCAATTGCCTCAAATCTACGATTATAAGCAAGAAGGCGAAAGAATTCAGACTACATCTCACCCACACAACAAACTTAGTCAAAGGTCTTCACCAATTCATTCATGATGTAATAGAACTTCACAATTGTTCAGTCCCGACCAATTGTAGTCCCATTTTCAAAGAATGAAAGCAATACAATTCTTTACGATCATCCTTGATTTCTTGAATAGTGAAGCAAAGCCATATAAAAAAAAGTAAAGAAACAAATGCAGTGTTTACCCCATAGAACAAATGTTTCAATTGAGAAATGAACTAAGATGTACCCACAAAAAACCAGCAAGGAAAGTCTTGGTAGTCCTGACTGTGTGACAGACCATAACCAAACGACACATCAGAAGATCAACCGCCTATCACGAAGCAAGTTCATACTTTGGACGATTTTGGAGATAAGAATGAGCAGCAGGCACTTCTACCATTTGTGAGGCCAAGACAACAACTACCGAGCCTGATAAATTGGGGCAAACCAGTAAAAATCATTAGATCACTGCAGAGGTTTAAAACAAAACAAAAAACGAAGGAGAAGGAGAAGGAGAGGGGAAACCATACAAAAGGGCTGTCAAGCTTGTCAGGCATCCGGTGCGTAGGAGCATTGATCCCATTCAGATGCTTCTTCAGTCCTGGAGCCAGTTATGTTTATACCAATTCAAACTCCATTAGCTTGAATCATAGATCTATGGCACAATTGAGGAAAGAAATGAATCATAGAACAAAAAGTGGAAGATGCACCTCACCGTGGTGAAGGTTCATCGAGAAGACGGCAGTTGATGGAGTTTTTTGAATAATATACTATCACCTGGAATCAAACGCAAAACCATAAGCAAACTCAATGACGAAATCTCCAAGACCAAATGGACCCTTCTGAGACAGGAAAAGAGAGCACAATCACATTCAAGAAAGTTCAGGAAAAAACACAGCAGGGAAAGAGAGGGAGAGTGAGAATAATCACCTCAAACCGAAACCCCAAATCCGTGGACCTACATCTCTTCCGAAACCACCCTCAATCTCTCAAACCCGTGAATGACTCCAGAAAATGCTTCTTCTGCCATCGGTAGCATTAATTCCCGAGGAGTTCCAATCTAAATCAGCTGGAAACTCCTTTGGTTCGGATACAGTAGTAGATTCTGAATATTGGAGGTAAAGCTGCCTGGCATAACTGCAAAATGCATAGTTTATTTCCATTGGTTAAAAAGAGTAGTCGCAATAACTCACAAAGGGAATGACAAGATGGGTTCATGTTAACAGTGTGAAGGATGAGCCATTAGAATGCCAAAGACTGTTTTTCCCTTCTGAAGGTTGAATCACGAACCCACCACGAAGTGAACTTCTAAAGGAGAGGTCCAAACGGGCATATGAGTGAAACTCACTCTTCGCCTGCTTTGAAGATATATGCATAGGAGCTGCTCCCATTAAATCAATTTCCTCGCCAGTAACACTACCAACGCCAGGCTCGGAATCCATATCTATGTTCCAACGACACTGTCCAGAGGCATTCCATCAACATCTCGCAAACCCGTGAATCAATCAACCTGAATCCATACTCTTTTTCGATTGGGGGATGAAGGAAAGAAGAAAAAACCACGGAATCATCATTCAAGAACTGAAGGGGGAAAAAAACTGCAGATAGTGAACCAAAACAGGAAGAACCTGTTATTTGATTGTTCTAACGTTCTGGCGGTTTCTCAAAGTAGCAATTAGGTCATTCTGTTGCTTCGAGCCTGGATCCCCATCCGAGAGGATTCTCGAGATAAACTGGATCGAACAAAAAGGAGAGACGAATCAAAACCAAAAAAATAAACAACCTCGAACCATTAATAACCATTAGATTAAGCAAACAAATTTTTTTACCCTCCGTCGTGAACCTCGTCGTCCCGCGGTGGGTTCACCCCCAACTCTCATTTTCTGGAAAGGATTGAGCCATCTTTTCGATTTCCTCTCCTCTCCGATTCCAGTGCTCGCAGGTGAGAATGGGAGAGAAACAACTTGATTAGAGCTTTCAGCGGAGAAAAGTTCCTGAGAAAGCCTTATGGGCAAAGAGATAGAACGAACCCATCAAGGAAAATTGAGGGAACAAATAAATAGAGAACAAAGGAATAATCACCTGAAGGCAAAGTAAAACCTAGGGATATGCCGAATCTTCGAACCCACTCTCTGCACTTCTCCGAATCCAGTCCTTAGACCACTCAAATCCACGCAGTTGAAAGAGAAGAGAAGAAATCAGGAAACTCTGGTTCACTCTACAGCAAAAGAGATACCGAAATGGAAGCACATGAGATCGAATACTGGGGAGACAAAAGCACAAAAGCAGAACCATAGTCCTAGGAATAAAATACCTGATATGGAAGAACTTTGAACGTGCACGTCTCTTCTCCATCAGCAAGCTCTGGCCTAAGAATCCGCCTGCTAGCCAGACCAGGATCTACGACCCGGCCGATAACCATTGCACACCACCATCACATTCGTCTAGCTCGAACACCATAGCTCGAACACCATAGCTCGAACACCACCATCACTTTGATTACTCCGAGAATCCTCCCCCCTCAAGACTGACGCGAGTTTTCTCTCAACCAGAAAAGGAAAAAACCAAAGAGGGAAAGTGAAAAGTCGAGAAGAGAGTAGAATTAAATAAGAGCGAACCTGGAGGGGAGAGTTTAGAGAAGAGAAGAACGAACAAAATATAGGGATCTCACCCTTCTCTACTTCCCCTCTCTTGCGGAATCCTCATATGAAAGTTGCCTCTCCTCACCTCTTCGCCCAACCACGGTTCTGAATCCCTGTTAACAAACCTAAAATCCAAACACAGAGAAGGTTGTTGAAAAACACACGAAACCTGCAAGATCACAGTCGATAAAGGAGAGAGAGACTTGAGATTCACCTTTCGGCCGCCCAAGTTCACCTTCTCCGGTGACCGCTCTAAGCTAGTGAAAAGTCGAGAAGAGAGTAGAATTAAATAAGAGCGAACCTGGAGGGGAGAGTTTAGAGAAGAGAAGAACGAACAAAATATAGGGATCTCACCCTTCTCTACTTCCCCTCTCTTGCGGAATCCTCATATGAAAGTTGCCTCTCCTCACCTCTTCGCCCAACCACGGTTCTGAATCCCTGTTAACAAACCTAAAATCCAAACACAGAGAAGGTTTGACTTGGGTAAATTAGAAGCTTAATTGAGAAAAACTCCTCCATGATCCAATGATTTAAACGTGCAAAAACTCGGCGTTAAGCAAAAATTTGTCAACACTTATTTGGATTTGGGTTCAATATCATAAAAGGGTTTGTAAAATCGATAAAACTCGTCCCTCGCTCGAAATTTTGAAACACTGGATTCAACTCGCTTTTACTGGCTTGATAAAGCGGTATGAGTTAAAAAAAAAAAAACCACACCTGACCGAACTCGACAACTACAGAAGCGGGTAAAACCCGTTCCCGACCCTAAGTTCATCAACACTGGATTCAACTCGCTTTGACTGGCTTGATAAAGCGTACCGGGTTTTCAACAAAAAAAACACACCCGCCTAACCCGTCAATTACAAAAGTGGGTAAAACTCGTCCCGACCCAAAAAATTTCAACACTGGATTCAACTCGTTTTGACCGGATTGATAAAGCGGGGCAAGATTTTTAACAAAATGCACACCCGACCCATCAAAAGCGGATAAAATTCGTTCCCGACCCAAAATTCGGCAACACCGTGACCGGGTTGAATTAGCTTGAATATAATTCTTAACAAGAGGCACACCTGACCCAATTCGTTATTTAAAAAAGTTGATAAAATTTGTTGCCGACCAAAAGTTCAGCAACACCGAAACGAATCGAATTTGATCGAGTACACATGAATTTAGGTGCAATTGTTTTGTTTGATAAAGAAATAAAACATAATTGCAGGAGAGAGGAAAGGAATAAGTGCAGGAGAGAGGAAAGGAATAAGTGCAGGAGAGAGGAAAGGAATAAAGAAATAAAACATAATTGCAATTTTAGTCCTCAGTAAAGCCAACCAAGAAATGATGAGGAGAACCCAAAAGCAAACTAAGTCACAGAAGGCAACCAAGAACTGATCAAGAGAACCAAAAAGCAAACTAAGTAACAGTGTTTGGATGTGACTCTACCAAACAGTAAAGTTGTAACTTGTTCTTTTAAAGAGATAATGGTATATATAGAGGTGGCAAATGGATTGGATTGGTGGATTGGTGGATTGGATTGGTGGATCCATGGATCAAATGGATTGGATCTAATGGATTGGTGGATCCATGGATTGGATCAAGTGGATTGGTGGATTATCCATGAATCCAAATGACATCCTCAACCAAGGACCAATATGTAAAATGTAAAAAGTTTAGGTACTAAAATGTCACAATGAAAAATTTTAGGTACCAAAACGTAATTTTCCAATGATATTTTTCGTATAAAAAATTAAATTTTAGGTACCAAAATGTAAAAAATAAAAATTATAGGTACTAAACCGTAATTTGCCAATGATCCATGGATCCAATCCATGAATCCACCAATCCAATTGGATTTGGATCAAATGGATTGGATTTAAATGGATTGGATTAGGTGGATATTTTTAATGGATTGATGGATTGGATTGGTGGATTGGATTGAAATTGCCACCTCTAGATATATGATCGCCTTTTCAATAATTAAAAGAAAACGATCCAAACCAACCAACAAGTCGGGCGAAAGTCCAATTGTCCTGCTGAGTATAAGGGGTGGTTGGAAACCTTTGATTCTGGAAATGATGTATTACGAGAATGTGTGTATTAGAGATTATGTGTATACTAAGAATATGTAGTTTTGAAAATTCATTGTTTGGAACTCATACAAGAATGCATGGATTATAATTTAAATGAACTATAAATACTAAAATCTCACAAAAAGGCAAGATTATGAATACATCATTTTCTATGTATTAGAAATACAGCATGGATTACGAATACATACATTTTGTTATTACATCAAGTAAAAAAACGTTGTGTTCTTATAATACATGTACACTGAGAATACAATATCTGGAATCGGAGGTTTCAAACGAGCCCCGATGGTATTATCCGGATTACACCTGTGTTTTGGTATGTCACGGTCGGGTGTTGGGGGCCAGCCCGTAGCGCCGGCTCCTCGCGTGTAAGAAAAAGTTCGATCCACCTAACTATACTCAAGTGCCCACTATAAATTATTGAGCCCGCACGAGCACGACCCTGAGCAGAGCACCATTCTTTGGGTATTCTTTCAAGACTTTTTTTTTTTTTTTTTTTTTGAAAGGAATGGTATTCTTTCAAGACTTGAGTTCTCAGGATTTCCATAAAATTTTTGAGTAATGCTCCGGTAATAGACTAATAGTCATTTTACTGTAATACTCGAACAGTAAGAAAATCAAAATCAAACCACTAGCAAATTAAACAAATGCTTAACTTTCAAATACCAATTTAGACTCAAACACAACGTAGAGGAGAGACCAAACAAATTTTATTTTGACAATATAAGTATAGAGGAATTTTACAATGCTATATAGCATTGATGCTATATGTTTTTACCTTTATGGTACAACTTAAAATTGTACCTTTAATGTTATGGTACAACTTCAGATTGTACCTATACTTTTTATACAAATTCTTTTATGGTACAACTTAAACTTGTACCTTATGTGATGGTACAACTTCAAGTTGTAAAGTTGTACCATAACATAATGATACAAATTCCTTTATGGTACAACCTAAACTTGTACATTTAATGTTATGGTACAACTTCAAGTTGTACATTAAAGTAGGGGTGGCTATACGGTCCGGTCCGGTTAAATTGGCCCAAATTGATCCGGTCCAGTCCGGTTTTTTTGAAAATATAAGGACCGAAGATTGGATTGGATACAGTCCGGTCTTGATCCGGTCCGGTCTTGACCCGGTCCGGTCCCAATTCGGTCTTGATTTTATATTGAGATTGTGGAAATTTGAGTGGCCTAAGGCCTAAAAGGGTGAGGAGTTGGTTAAGTTTTGTACTAAGTGTAAAGGTTTGTGACCGTTTATGCAAATTACCCTTAAGTTTTGGGTGTTGAGCTCTCTTATCCGGTCTTTATCCGGTTTTTTACCTCAAATCTAAGCCCAAAGATTGGATTGGATTGTTTACTATCCGGTCCCGGTCCGGTCTCGGTCCGGGTTATACGGTCCGGTTTCCGGTTTTTCATCCGGTCCCGGTCCAAATAGCCAGCCCTACATTAAAGCATCAATACTATATAGCATAGTAGAAGTGCTCTATAAGTATATCAATCTTCGTAATGTTAATTTCTTAATCAATCATCAGTAATCATCATCCAATACTACCATAGCGTTGAAACAATAGCACTTCATTTGTTGAATTTTGGATCATTCAAAAGGTCTTCATAATGATTTTATACCCGAAATATTTGTACTAACCGACAAACTTGGGGATTTCACAATTTTTTGTGTACTCCATTCTGTAACATTTGTAACCAAATTGGACATTTCCCATATGCACTGATCACACTCCACTAGTAACAACATTTTGAATAGTTCATTGGAAGGGAAAGTAATCATAATTCAAGAGAGAGGTGGGAGGGAGGATAAATAAAGGCAGTTGCATACTTGCAATTTCTTCGTCTTCTTCTTTTTTTTGTTGTTGGTAGGAGCAGTTGCAATTTTCCATCTGCTAGAAAGTGGAAAGAGTAGCCTTTACAAATATAGATGAACCCTTCAATCAATCATGCATTTGTTGGGTTGTTTCAGCGACTTTGGAAGGAAGAGTAGAGAAGAAGGGAGAGAATACGAATTGTATCGATTGATGGTGGTTTGTCTCTCCATTACAATCAAAACTTGGAAACCCCATCTCCCAATTTCATGTGCAATGTTTTTTCTTAGCCTTCAAATTTACAAGATCTGAAAAAGAAGTATGATATTATCTTACTGGTCCAAAAGGCGAAAAAAATCTCTTGTAAAACAATAATCAGGTGAAAAATATTTTATCAATGAGACAATCAACCATTACATACTTTCGTAGTTGTTATAAATTGTTTTATGTTTGTATATTCTGTTCGTTTTTTCTTTTCGATCGGTGTTTCATTCGACAATGCGTGCATGATGATGAAATATCAAAACAACCAATTGTCACTTGAATCAAGCTATATGTGTACCAGCACAAGAATCGCATCCAGATCTTTGAGCCTACCATCTCCAAACTTGGGTGAAATTTTTTGGGCGTGGGGAGGCAGATAGTGGGGATAGATTCAATGGACCCATCAGAATCGTGGGGGTACACCCACAAATGTTGCCTAGGTTTTGTGACAACAAGGCAAATCCATATGCTCCATTTTTGTTCATATTGAAAATGGGTTCATCTTCAAAAAAAATCATATTGACGGATTACCACTTAATAGATTTCAAATAAAACGAAACATCTCAGATTAAAATGTTTTCTCTAATAATCTTCACTCGAAACTCATTATTCGTTATGCAATCCTGCATCAATATGAATTAGCTACTTCTCCATCAATTCTGTCAGCGCTCCACTGCTCCTTTCTCATTACATACATTCACAGTTTTTTTCAACCATATGTCACAACTATATAGTAATGAGAAGACCAATTCGACTAAATCTCGTTAGACTATTTGATAAACTTTCATTTGCATCCACAATTACCGTAAGATATTGCAAAAATGACTCACAATATACGTATTGTTGGCCAAATCCATCTTATTATTGATCAAAATGGATCAGTTTCAAAGTTAACCCGAATCCAAAACCCTAAAAAATACATATGGATCCATTTGAATCCGGTCAATACTCATATAGTCAATTGAGTCAAATTAACAAACAAATCAACTCGTAATCTACATCCATAATTACCAATATCGCTATCTAAGCAAGCCATTAGTCAACCGATTAAAGACGAGTTTATGAAAGGGATTACTTGGTAACAAGACGTCAAGACGAAGTGTCGCTCCAATTTTGACTCCGCACCAACCTTTCAGTACCCTGTGAAAGCGAAGGTGTATCCTTTGCTTCCTCTCATACTTAGCGCTGCTTATTTATTTGTCGTAGTTTGATATATATAGATAGAGCATGCCACGGTTGCTTCCCGATTCTATGGGATATAATATAGGGTTACATT